AGCTTATTGTGCCGTTCAGTTCAGTTGGCATTTATAGCACACATAGAGTACAGAGAACTGGGCGATGGGTTCTAGCATTTTATATCCATTTTCACTGATTGTGTTACCCGTTATATATGGTGTTGGATGTGTTGGATGTGTGGCACTTCACTCATGCAATGCATCCAATTTTCTGTACACCACTACCACTGCCAATACGCTTATACACTGTACTGTACAATGTGTGCATAAATGTGAAGCACAGTTTTGTCTGTCTTTGTACAGTAAGTGTGCAAAACTCAGGGGGAATTGGAGGCGAAATATATTTTTTGAGTCCAAATAGTGTGAGCGCCCGATGTATTAAGTGTTGTGCCAATCATTATTAGGGACAACAAAAAATACTTTTTATTTTCTATCAGTGTTTTAGTATTTATAGAATTGTTAATGACTTTAGAGAGTCAGTCATTCAGTAGTGAGGGTCGGGTAGGAGTGAGAAGGAAACGGGTTATATATATACAATATAATGCAGAATCTACTATAATATTCCGACACTATTCGGTCCTCCCTGTGCTCCCATCCTTCACTATTCATAGTAATTGCATAAATATATACTGAATGACTGAAAATTAGTGATACAGTATGTGAATGAAAATGCGGCAACAATTCTGGGCACACATTAACTGCTATTTTATATGTATTTTATTCTTATATAAGTGTAATATATTTTTTGTTGCTTTTTTCGCTCGCATTTCGTTGTGTTGTATTAAATTAAACTTCAATTGACTCAATGACTGAGTTTTTTGTACGAGTTTTGAATGTCTGTTCGCATAATATGTAAATTCAATTACAATTGCATTTAGAATATAAAGTATTAGTTATAACGAGAGAGAGAGAGAGAGAGAGAGAGAGAGAGAGAATATTCTTAATGTTTTTGTATAGTGAACACAGAATTTCTGTCTTTATCTTTCAATACACTTAAGAGAATAGAGAATAACATCAGAAATATATTGATATATAAGAATATATTCCACTCTTTTTTATACACACATTACATACAAATCTATATATTATTGAATCAATTTTGATGGCAATACAAATGATATGCACTCGTGTTTCAGACACACAAACACAGGCGTAACGTTCAGACCATCAGACAGTTCTTGAGGTCAATTCCCATATGAATGCCACACAATATAAAGCTATTGACCATAAGTTTTATTCTTCCCATTATATTCTGTGTATATATTTTTGCTGATATATTGTTATCTCTATATCTCTCCAGTTCTTCAACACCACTACTGAGTGCTTCTCTAATTCAATATTTAGCCCATCTATACATATATTGTGAATATATTTTCAAGAGAGAACTAATATTCAATAAATAGAAATACTTTGCATAAAACAGTATAATATTTCTTTTTACGATAAAAACTATAATAAAAAGCTTTTATAACATATTTTATATTCAAAGCATTTGTTGATAAAAAATAAAATCAAATGTCTTTATCGATAAAGAAATTCAAACCCTCGCCATTGAATTCAGTGAAGAGTAATTTATTTAATATAATAATACAAATCGCCATTAAGTTAAGTTAGTCACAAGCGTGGGGTTGTTTTAATGCTAATATTGTGCCATAAAGTGTACGTTCTGTTTGTGTTTTGTATGCAAAATACATACACAATACAAATCAGACTAAATATATAATTATCGGCAAAATTAGCATTTCATTCAATTGATTCACTATTTCTTCTTTGTAAAAAAGTCATACATTAATGAGTTGTGAAAACATTGTACATAACATAATAATTAGATTCTCTCTCTCTCTCTCTCTCTCTCTCTCTCTCTCTCTCTTCAGTTCAGTTGGCATTTATAGCACACATAGAGTACAGAGAACTGGGCGATGGGTTCTAGCATTTTATATCCATTTTCACTGATTGTGTTACCCGTTATATATGGTGTTGGATGTGTTGGATGTGTGGCACTTCACTCATGCAATGCATCCAATTTTCTGTACACCACTACCACTGCCAATACGCTTATACACTGTACTGTACAATGTGTGCATAAATGTGAAGCACAGTTTTGTCTGTCTTTGTACAGTAAGTGTGCAAAACTCAGGGGGAATTGGAGGCGAAATATATTTTTTGAGTCCAAATAGTGTGAGCGCCCGATGTATTAAGTGTTGTGCCAATCATTATTAGGGACAACAAAAAATACTTTTTATTTTCTATCAGTGTTTTAGTATTTATAGAATTGTTAATGACTTTAGAGAGTCAGTCATTCAGTAGTGAGGGTCGGGTAGGAGTGAGAAGGAAACGGGTTATATATATACAATATAATGCAGAATCTACTATAATATTCCGACACTATTCGGTCCTCCCTGTGCTCCCATCCTTCACTATTCATAGTAATTGCATAAATATATACTGAATGACTGAAAATTAGTGATACAGTATGTGAATGAAAATGCGGCAACAATTCTGGGCACACATTAACTGCTATTTTATATGTATTTTATTCTTATATAAGTGTAATATATTTTTTGTTGCTTTTTTCGCTCGCATTTCGTTGTGTTGTATTAAATTAAACTTCAATTGACTCAATGACTGAGTTTTTTGTACGAGTTTTGAATGTCTGTTCGCATAATATGTAAATTCAATTACAATTGCATTTAGAATATAAAGTATTAGTTATAACGAGAGAGAGAGAGAGAGAGAGAGAGAGAGAGAGAGAGAGAGAGAGAGAGAGAGAGAGAGAGAGAGAGA